AAGAAAGAAAGAAAGAAAGAAAGAAAGAAAGAAAGAAAGAAAGAAAGAAAGAAAGAAGAAGAAGAAGAAGAAGGAAAGAAAGAAAGAAAGAGAGAAAGAAAGAAAGAAAGAAAGAAAGAAAGAAAGAAAGAAAAAAGAAAGAAAGAAAGAAAGAAGATTCTTTTATTATAGGCTTAGGCCTTTCATTCACAGTTCACTGACTGGAAATGCTCTGGTAGCTTTTGAATTTGTTCACTGGAAAGTTCTGGAAAAAGGGAATCACGAAAAGGCACAAAGTCTGCGAAAATGGGCGACTGTACGCTTACTTTGTAATGCAAGATCAGTCGGCTTGAAAAAATAGCCAGCTATTAAACTCAATTACTTCCTGTTAAAAATTCTCTCCACAGCAGGCTATTAAACTATCCTGCTTTTCGGTATCAATAAAAGTTAATTTTAAAAATTCATTAAAGATACATTGGGATAGCTTTTTGTATAGCGCTAGCTAATGCCCGGTAAACAAAACAGCAAGCTCTCTGTTTTTGGTCTACAATTAACCTATCATAATAAAAAAAAAATACATGTTATTGATCCCCACGTGTAATGTTGGAATACAATGGCAAAAATTTATTAGAAATGCATAATGAACTTAAATGCACACATAAATACATTCACAATATCACACCAATAGGCCTGCAGATCAATTTTACAAGCATGCCATTGCTGGTTGCAACTAACGTGTAGCGCCTTTTTTATACGAGGCGGTGGAATCCGGCGCTCCTCAGTGTTGGGGCATATGGAGTTATCTTTCTTAAAGCGTATCCATTTGCCTTGCTTCTGATAGCAAAAATATCCATTTATCTAGGATACAAGTGAAGATATTGGCGATTGAAGGAGGTGGGGGTCGCCTAGTTTCAGAGGTAACATTAGCGAGAAAATGGCCGCCAATGTCGCGTTATTGCCTTATATAGCTTGGGAGTCCATAGAAACAGAAAAAGTACATCTTTTGTGCCTTCAATCAACGTTTTTCAATAAAAACCACACATAAATATGTTCTTTATTAGGTTCTCTCGGAGCGGCTCACAATTGTTGTCATCGCCCACTGTATCTGCACTAGGTGATGATGATTGAGGATGATGATGTTGAGGAGGAGGAGGATGAGGAGGAGGAGGAGGAGGAGGAGGAGGAGGAGTAGGAGGAGGAGGAGGAGGAGGAAGAGGGGAAGGAGGAGGAGGAGGGGGAGTATAACAAAAGGAGGATACAAGATCTCAGCATACGGACGGAGATAAGCTAACTCTAAATTGAAGAAACCCAACAGATCCTGGGAAGCGAACTCGCATGTTTCACGTCCAACGGTAATCAGAGAAACCCCCACCCCCACACCGGAGACGCTAGCTAGTGCACTTTTGAGATTTTTTCCCTAGAGTAATAAAGTTTGTCATTGTCAACTGTATCTCCACGACATGATCATCAGAGGAAGCGGCAAGGCCACAGACACGTACACACGTACAACTCTCTGGCTTCAGAGATCACATGAGGCGTGTTTTATCAGCGTCTTCTGGATACAGGTCAACATAGGCGGAACCTGTAGGGGGAAGGGTCGTAGGGTGTAGATGGTGGACTCTGTTTCCACATACTACTTGTCCCCGCAGTTTTATGCAAAAAAATTCTGATATTAGGCTAAGTGAGCCCAAAAATGTGAAGTTATGCGATTCTGTTAATTTTAACAAAGAATGGTTAAGTAAAATATTGTTTTTTTTATTATGCAATAAATGATCAAGTTTTGCTAAATTATGCGGGGGGTTCCTAAAACCGTGGGGACAGTACTACACTGTGAGTTGTGTTGGTGTGTATAGTCGTTGATTTCTAGACAGTGGTGGCATTGGTGCCGTCGCCAGCAGAGAAGACAGAATTAGTTGGATTCCCAAGTAGGCGTTTTTGATTTGTTTTGTTTTGTTTTTGTTTGTTGTTTTTTTGTTTGATTTAGTTTTTAATCAGATATCTCTCTCTGTGTGTTGGGACTCTGTAAGCGCTGGTTCGAGCATCCAGCTCTCTTTAGATGGTTTAAATTGTGTCATTTTGTTGTTGTTTGTTTGTTTGTTTGTTTTTGGTGAGTTTTTTTAGGGGAGAGAGGGCGTAAAACGTTTACGATTTCAACATTGTACAGAGCAAGCGATCTGGCTGACCGTCCACTTAAAGTGTTGCTGCTTTCTCCGTAAGCCTGAAACAAAACCAGCAGCAACAACAGCAACCAAAAACATCAAACGATAGATCTAGCTGAACCCATCCCCTCCCAAAAAAAAGGGAATAAAGGGAGGAGGGAGAAATAATGTAAAATATTAAAAAATTTGGCTAATCGGTTTTAGAGGGGGTAAATAGTTTTATCGTTAAGGCGATCAACTCAACTCCTTATTCAAGACACCCAAAGATACACTGCACTGAAATTATGCAGGGTGTTTCATAGTTTAAGAATGTCGAAGGCAAGATTGCACTCTCAGACACGGTACTGCAGACCAACTGGAAAATAAAAAGAGGTAGACCAACTGGAGATTACGGAGGTATAATCAAGTATGAAGCAATCACCTACACTAGAGCCTAGATGTGCCAATATTGGAAGAGACAGTTAAGGACAGGCTAGCGTGTCGTCAACTCTCCCCACCTTATGTACCGTATTTTTTCACTTTCTGCAACACGGTGCCTAATATCTCAAACCTTGTCTCCACCTTTGATGTTGTGGGCGACCTGAGGTTGACCTTAATACTTGACATCTTACGTCATAAAGCCCATTCATTACGTCACACTGACTTCAGCAC